ATCTCAGAGTCCATCAGAGTTTTGATTTGCATTTCCTGATGACTAAGGATGATAAACAATACTTTAGGTGTTTCTCTGACATTTGAGATTCTTCTGTTGAGAATTCTCTGTTCAGGTCTGTATCCCATTTTTAAATTGTATTATGTGGTTTTTTGGTGTCTAGTTTCCATAGTTCTTTATATATTTTATAAATTAGCCCTCTGTCAGATGTAGAGATGGTGAAGATTTTTCCCAGTCTGTAGGCTGCCATTTTATCCCATTGACAGTGTCCTTTGGCTTACAGAAACTTTTCAGTTTCACAAGGTCTTATGTATCAATTTTGGATGTAAGTGTCTGTGTAACTGGTATTCCATTCAGGAAGTTGTCTCCTGTGCCAGTGCATTCAAGACCTAACAATACCACTCTTGGGCCTATATCCAAAGGATGCTCAATTATACCACAAGGACACCTGCTCAAATATGTTCATAGCAACTTTATTTATAATACCAGAACATGGAAACAACCTAGATGCTCCTCACATGAAAAATGGATAAAGAAAATGTGGTACATTTATATAAGGAAGTATTACTCAGTGGTTAAAAAAAAAAGACATCAGGAAATTTGAAGGCAAATGAATTGAACTAGAAAAAACAACATCCTGTGTAAGATCACCTAGACCCAGAAAGACAAACATGGTATATACTCACTCATAAGTGGATATTAGCTATAAAGTAAAGGATAATCATGCTACAAGCCATAGCCCCAGAGAGGCTAGGTAGCAAGGAGGGTCCAAGGGGGAGAATGTGTGGATTTCCCTGAGAAGGGGAAGTAGAGGAGGTCTCCTGGGTGGACTGGAGGTGGGTGGGTATGGGAACTTAAGGGATCGAGTTAGGGAGTGGGCAAACGGGGAGAGTCCTGAGAAAGATGCCTGGAAAGGGGGGATTTATGAGTTGATTAGAAGCTAGATGCAAAGGAAACTCCCACGAATCTACACGACTGGACCCAGCTAAGACTCCTGGCAGAAGTGGATGCATAGCCTGAAATGGCCATCTCCTGTGATCAGATTTGTGATTATGATTACCCCAGTTGTAATCCAGTGACTGATGGAGGCAGATTCAGAGACCCAAGGACAGACATTGGGCTGACCTTGGGAAGTCCTGCTGAAGAGAGCAAGGAAGGATTGTAGGAGCCAGAAAAACCCACAGAAATAGCTTTTCTGGCTCATTGAACTCTCAGAGTCTGAACTTACTATCAGGAGCCTGAATGGGACTGACCTAGGCCCTCATCATATATGACATCATTGTGTAGCTTTGTTTATTTGTAGAACTCCTGATGATGAGAGCAGGGACTGTCCCCTGGTGGATTGGATGGCTCTTGAGAACCTATTCCTCATGCTGGATTGCCTTACCCAGACTAAATACAGGGGAGGTGTTTGGTTTTATGGCAGCTTGATAGGCCATGCCTTGCTGATGCCCATGGGAGGCCTGCCCCTTTCTGAGCAAATATGGAGGGGGGTGGATTGCAGGGAGAGAGTGGGAGGAGAGGATGGAGGGGAGGCTGCAGTCACAATATAAATAAAATAAAATAAAACAAAATAAAATAAAATCAGAACCAGGGAGGAATGTTGATTTCTGGCTTGCTTCTGTGACTTGCTCAACTTGCTCTCTCATACAAGCCAGGACCAGTTAACTGCCTGAGAGTGGAGCTGTCCACAATGTGCTGGGCAGTTCCAGATCAATCACTAATCAAGAAAGCACCTCCAGAGATATGCCCAAATACTAATCCCAGGTGACTCTAGTTTGTGTCAAGTTGACAAAATTGACCATAGAATTGACCCCTTATCAACTTAGCAGCAACCTTTCCTTTCTTGTTTTTTCTAAGGTCTCCCATTAATATCTTGATATAAAGCATGGTATAACTTTAAAAGCCCTACAGCCTTTAAAACATTTGAACACTTTAAAAGTTTGGTCTCCTTAAAATACCCAAACTCTCTTGAAAAATCAAAAACAAGACATACATGTCCTTGTTTCAAAATGGAAGGACCAAGGCACAGTTACAGTGGGATCAAAGCAAAACCCAACATTCTTTAGCACTGATCAAATAATGTAGCTCAGTTTCTGGTCTCTGGAGCTCACTCATGATATTAGCTCACAAAGGGTTTGTCAGTTCAATTTATCTGGTTCTGCAAGACGCATCACACATAGCTTGTCTCATGCTTAGGCAAGCTCCACTCCATAACCACTGCAGTCTTCGTAGTCATCCACAGTCGTCATGACATCCTCACCATGCTGGGGCCTCAACTGCAACTGAGGCTTTACCTTTACTAATAGCCTCTTATGGCATCTTCAAGGACTCTGGCCTTACCTCAAGGTAACAAGTATCAAATTCTCCAAATGACCTCTTTATTTTATTATGTTTTTTCCTGAAAGACATTTATATATTATTGAGCAAATTTGGCTGCCATCTAGAGGTATAGTTTCAGTCCCCTCTGGTTCACATCGTGTGTAAATCCTGATGAAGTACTTAGATTTCACCTTAGTGATACTGATTTCTTATTAATCACAGATGATTTTTCAGATCCTTCTAACTAGCATCAACTGTCTCAGTAAAGCAAAAGTTTCGCTTCAGAGGTACTTGTCTCTTGTCAATCACAGATGATTCTTCAGCCCTAAATGACCAGAAACTACAGACTCTTAATACAAAATATCACACAAACATTTCAAATAGAGTCTGTGGTGGACTCCCAAGCTTCCCTCTGAAACTTTGCAAACAAAGAACCCATTATCAGCATGTAATCATCCAGACTCCTTCAACATCTCATTAAGCATGGCCAAAAGCTTGAGATCCTCTACAGAACAGTTCAGGGCATAAAACACCACATGGTCATATCCATCAGAATGGGCACCAATTTCTGTCCTAGTTACTTGTCTTGTTGCTCACCTAAAACATTGACCAAAGTAACTTGAAAAATAAAGGGTTTATTTCAGCTTACAGGCTGTAGTCAATCATTGAGGAAAATCTGGGCAGGGAATCCAGGCAGAAACAGAAGAACCGTGAAGAAATGGTGCTTATTGACTGGCTTCCCATACCTTGCTCTGCTTGCCATTTTACACAATCCAGGATGGCAAGGCTCAGAGTGAGCTAGGCCCTCCAATAGTAATCATTAACCAAGAAAATGCCCCCCAGACATGCCCACAGGCCAACCTGATGGAGGCAATTTTTGAGTTGAGGTTTCCTCTTCCCAAGTGACTCATGTTGAGAAAACTAACCAGACAATGAGGACCACAGCAAAATTGTAAACTTCCTATTTTGTAAATTTGCCCTCTAGAGGGCACTGTTTCTAAATAGGAAATAGCTTTTGTTGATTAAAGGAGAGATGCAAAAACCTACTTTCTCTACTGCTACAGCAAGAATCCTGACTGATCATATTTTAGACAGTATTGGAGGAAGACTCTCAGATGCCAGAGGAAGGTGATTACCAAAAATGGTTCTTCCTGGCAGTCCCTTCGAACTCCCTATAGTGAAGGTATCTAGGCATCCTTAAGCTCAGAGCAACCTCTGTTCACTTCTCTTGGTGTCCTGGTTGTATTTGCTTTCTGGAGATCTCCCAGCAAAGAGCGAGCTGCTTCCTCATCACCACGGTGACCTCGCTGTGCACCCTGAAGCTTAGAGTGCTCTGTGAGTGTCACTGTGCTTCAATCTATCTTCACAGAAGGAACACTGACTGCACTGTTTCACTGTGAACAGACTTTCCTATTGGTAGAGTTCCCCCGACAGCACTGGTGCTGCACGAGGATGCAGAGCCCAGGTGGTGCCCAGCCTGATGGCTACATCTGTGCATCTGCAGCAGCTGTTCTGGGGCTGAGGCACAGCTACTTATTTCTGCCTCTCAGGGTCTTCCCAGCACTTCCTGAATCTCATACCAGGAAGTCAGCCTGTCCCCAGCATGAAGGGCTTTCAGACTTACTGTAGGCAGGAAGGAAACTCCTTCCACCTGAGGATCCTCTGACAGCCGGACTGAGGGAGCCGGGTGCTCCACTGCCCCGAGTCACAAGTGCAGAGCTGGAGACAAACCACTCAAGACTGCAGAGTAAGAGACCAGGGTCCCATTCTCAGAGATACTTTCAGAAATTTAATGTGTTCTGTAAAACTTTAAAACACCATTCTGGCCGGGCGTTGGTGGCACACGCCTAATTTAATCCCAGCACTTGGGAGGCAGAGGCAGGTGGATCTCTGTGAGTTCGAGGCCAGCCTGGTCTCCAGAGCGAGTGCCAGGATAGGCTCCAAAGCTACATGGAGAAACCCTGTCTCGAAAAACAAACAAACAAACAAACAAACAAAAAAACCCACCATTCGTATTGTTACAAATACACAGTTTGTTGTCCCCTGAAGTCACCATGTGCTGTAGCACACCAGAACTGCTGGTCCTGTCATCTGGAACTTACCGAATTTGATTTGTTTTTCCCACTCAACCTTCTCCTTATGGGTCCTTTAAAAATATTTACCACAAACCTGGTTGCAACATGAGTGTCCAAATGCACATATTTTTATTTATCCCAAGAAAATGAGACCACTAAATCTATATTGCATAATAATTATTATCTTGTTTCTCTGTATGTTTGGAGCATCTCCTTTAAATCAATTCATTGGTCAATAAAGATATTTTAGTCAGAGCATCTAATTTCTGGATATAATAATTAGCTGTTCTTTCTATACCATACACCAGTTGAGATATTTTCTTCTTAGGAGGTCCCTTCCTCCTCAGAAGTCCCTCACATATCTTACAACACCGATGTCATCAAAAAAGGACCATCTACTACACTCTCCCCAGACTCTCAGCCAGGTCTGGTTGGGAGGAGCTTCAGACTCAGAAGGCTGGGAGGGAACTCTGCAGTGTCTGGCCTGGCAGGGTTCCTGGGTGGAGCTGCCTGGTGCAGGAGGAGGGACATTCAACAGCCATCCTGACACCACAGCCCAGGGCTTGGTTACTTGCTTCTGTCTCCAGCATCCAGACAAGCACCATGAAGAGGCTGCTGTGCTCTCTGCTGGGGCTGCTGTGCTCCCAGGTTTGCTGTGAGTCTGGCTGTCCACACTCAGGGACAGAGAGGATTGTGCTCAGGGCATGGAGGGTGGGAAGCAGCTCAGGAGTCCTGCAGAGCTCCCTCCTTCTCAGAGGACATGGGTGTGGTCAGGGTTCTGAGGATGCTCAGTGACCTCCATCTGTGTCTCTTCTCTGTTTCTGATCAGGGGTGAAAGGGCAACAAGTGAAGCAAAGTCCTGTGTCCTTGGTTCTGCAGGAGGGAGAGAGGGCAGAGCTGCAGTGCAACTTTTCCATAGGTGCAACCCAGATGCAGTGGTTTCACCAAAGCCCCGGTGGACACCTCATCAGCCTGTTTGTCAATCCTTCTGGAACAAAGCAGAGGGGAAGACTGACATCCACGACAGTAGCTAAAGAATATCGCAGCTCCTTGTACATTTCCTCCTCCCAGACCACAGACTCAGGCACTTATTTCTGTGCTGTGGAACCACAGTGATCCCCACACACCTGCAGCCAGTACACAAACCTTCAGAAGGGTGGGTGTGGCCTTTCCTAGTCACAAGATATCCAGAAACCACAACAAGCATCTGTCTTGTTTAATGCCTCTTATCTTTTATAACTTCATTTCTCAATATATACTCCCTCCAGAAACAGAAATGTTCATCTTAGAATTAACAGAAAAGCTGATGGGTACTGAATTATCTGAACATTTAAACCACAGTTTGCTTAAGCTGTAAGGGGTAAGGAGAAAAGGGAAAGAAAGGCAAACTGATGTGGACAGTGATGCAGCTAACCGGGCCCATAAAAATGGCTTCACTTCATCTTGCCTTCGGGTCAGAGCATTCAAAACTATCCCTACTCTTCCCAGGTTAAAGTCATAAGACTTAAAGGTCTAAGGAGTGGCTACTGTAGGATGTTTGAACTTAATCGTGGATGTCTTCTCTAAATAACAAGAGACTTAATCTGAGGTGTGATTACTCTTAACCCTCAAGGCCAGATAACAAGAGATTTAGTCTATGGCATGTTTTCTAAATGTTTGGAGAATTAAGGAAGAAAGTCTGTTTCTTCTTTGTATCTTGATAAAGAAGTCTTCCTCCATTTTCCTTTTTTTGGTTGAGGTATTTAAGAATGTTAAAGAATAAACTTGGGGCATTCAATATTCACTGGATTGCCCTCCTGATTCTATCCTGTGTCTCTGTCTTTTCCTTAGTATCTTCACCTGCCATTTCTCAATTCACACTCCCCATCTCAAATATCAACTGGGTAAGTTGCCTGGATCCAACTGAAGCCCCACAAAGATGGGGTACGGCATCCAACTCAGTTGTGTCTCAAGCACATCCAGTCCTGTGGGCCACTGCAAAGGTGGACACTTGCCTCTGACCTATTGATACAGTTGGAAAATATCCCAAAATGTTCCTACACTGTGAAAAAAGATGTTACTATCACTTAAGGTGTATTTTTCCTTCACCTACCTAAGTTCTGTTCATATTCTTGGAGTTTCTCTGGACAAAGAACCTGCCCTATTCTAAAGAGTGCTCTCTGCATGTTTAAGAATAAGTCCTTGGCTGGGTGGATAGCTGTAGCTCTCCTTGCTTTATAGTGTTGTTAGAGTCTATTTTCTTTTTGTTACTCTTTTCATTGTTCTTACTTGTTAAGGGCCGTGGGCCCTAATCTATGGGGTTTAAAGCCCACTTTTTGTAAGCTTTTATGACCTTTAAAGTTTTCGGCTTAAAGACAACCATGTGAGCCTCATGTGACCCATAATTAGATAAGTTTGGCCAAGTGGGACTGCTAACGACTGCGTTCCGAGAAAAGGCATGGGCCTTTCTGCCTGTTGTTTCGAAGATACTGCAAGAATGTTCCAGCCCCAGCAAATACCAGACGTTCCTTCCTGCTATCCCTCACTTGCCTAATTTCCTTGTTGCAGGGCTATATAAGCCCACTCTGAGCCCCAATAAACCGAGACCTTGACAATTGCACAGATGGACTCTGGTCCCCTCTTTTGCGCCACTTGGTCTCCTTCCTTCTCTCGCCCATGACTCTTTCAGGCAGTCCCCCTTCAGAACCCTGAATGACTGACCCGCGGGACGGGTCACTTACTTAGCATTATCAGTAAGGTACTTGAGTCTCCAACTATTATTGTTAAATGATCTCTTTCTATTGAAGCCCAGTCAGTTTTTGCTTCATGTATTTGAATGATTGTTTTTAGGTACATATATAAGTACTATAATGTCCTAATGTATAACATTTTATTTATTTAGGATTCAACAGAGGAAATCACTCTGCCATTGGTCTATGTCCCTGACTTTGAGATTGATTATTCAGCTGCCTTCCTGTGCCCCTTTCCATGGAAAGTCCAGCCCATACTGTTAGCCTCATCCTCCCTGACCAGGCATCCATGACTTCCTTCCATAGCTGATTCCTCCCAACTGAGCTCTACACACCCTGCCAACCCCACCCATCCAACTGGACACTTTTAGCTTCTCCTTTAGGCAGACATCAGATTTGCAACACCATCCAACCCATTCCTGCAACCCAAGGACCACCCCTCTCTAGGGAGGAGCACTATACCAACAACTCCACATACTCCCACTACCTGCTAAGGTACACATGGTGTCTAACTGACCTGCCTTCCTTCACATCCTTTGGCATACCCCACTTCAGGTAGGGATATTCAATTCTCTCAAATAAACACTTCCAAACCCACTGCTCACCCTTGACCCCATCCTCAACCTGGGAGACTAGATTCACCCCTAAACTCAACTCTGTCTACCTTCACTATCTCTACCCATCATCACTGTTCACATCCCTTCTCTAGGTAGACACTAGACTCATTCTACCAACTGTACTTACTCCTGAAACCCATGTTGTATAATCATTAATGCTATAAATTTACAAAACAAAGAAATATATTAAAAGAAGCAAGAGAGAAAGATCAAGCCACATGCAGAGGCAGGCCTATCAGAATAACAGCATACTTCTCAGTGGAGACCATGAAACCCAGAAACCACTAGGTAGATGCTCTGTAAGTTATGAAAGACCACAGATGCCAGCCAAGATTGTACCCCAGGAAAACTATCAGCCATAATTGAAGGAAAAGGAAAAATTTCTATGATAAAATAGTCTTAAATAATATATAACCAGTAAACCAGCTCAACAAAAGATACCATAGGTAATATTTAAGCCTGAAGAAATGATTAAACAGGCCCAAGAAGGCATAAAAATAGTTTCAGTACATTGAAGCAAAAGAGGTCTAACAGAAAATCACAAAAGCAACAAAATAACAGGAATAAATACACATTTTCAATAATAACCTTTACTGTTAATGATCTCATCTCCTCAATGAAGAGATACAGACTAACATTTAGATCAGAAAGCAGGATACAACATTTCCTGCTTCCAAGAAACACACCTTAGGAATGATAGGTACCATGTTAGGATGAAAAATGGTAACCTAAGCAAATGAACCAAAACCAAGGATGTCTAGTCATTCTAAGATCTGACGGGATTGACATTAAAGAAAAACAATCAGATGACATAGGAGGGATATTTTTAATATATTGAAGAAAAAATCCAACAAGGTATTGTATATGCACCAAACATAGGATCACTCACTTCATAAAATAAGCAGTATTTAACTTAAAACCACAGATCAACTGAAGTGTAATGATGGTGGGTAATTTTGGCTTAGTAGTGTGTTATTTGGCTTTCATATATTTGTGTACTTCCTATCTCTTGCTCATATCCATCTTTAATTTTTGTTAAAAATCTGTGAAATACATTGAAAGAAGATATAAGAGGAATGTGTATAAACACTAGGTGCCTATGTCAAAAAAATTGAGAGATCTCAAATTAGTTAAGTTAGTAACACACCTGAAGGCCCTAGTAACATAAGAAAAAATAATTTACAAATCTGTAATCAAGAAGAAATAATTAAAATCAAGAAATTAATGAAATGGGAATGAAGAGAAACTATAAAAATAATAAAAGAAAGAATATTACTTTGAAAGATGAGCAGTACTGACAAAACTTTAGCCAAACTAACTGAAGGAGGCAGAAGCCTACTTGATAAAGGTGGATGGACTTTTTTGTGATTCAATTTGTGAGTATTTTTATTGAGTATTTTTACACCAATCTTAATGAGGGAAATTGGTCTGTAATTCTCTTTCTTTGTTGAATCTTTGTATGATTTGGGTATCAGGGTGACTGTGGCCTTATAAAACGAATCTAGTAATGTTCTTTAAGTTTCTATTTTGTGAAATAATTTAAGGAGTATTGGTATAGCTCTTCTTTGAGAGTCTTGTAGAATTCTGTTCTGGTCCTGGGTATTTTGGATATTTTGTCTGTGTCTTTCAGTTAGTTTGGACAAGGGTTTGTCTATCTTGTTGATTTTTCTAAAAGAATCAACTCATTGTTAATTGATTCTTTGTATTGTTCTCTTGGTTTCTGTTTTATTTATTACAGCCCTCAGTTTATTTCTTGACATCTGCTCTTCTTGGGTGTGTTTGCTTCTTTTTGTTCTGGAGCTTTTGGGTGCACTGTTAAGTAGCTAGTATGGGATCTCTCCAATTTCTTTATGAAGGCACCCAGTGCTATGAAGTTTCCTCTTAGCACAGCTTTCATTATGTAGAATAAGTTTAGGTATATTTGTGGGAGTGGCCAACCAATGAGTGGTTCAACTTGAGACCCATGATGAGAGGGGGGGAGGGAGAAAGAGAGAGAGAGAGAGAGAGAGAGAGAGAGAAGGAGAGAGAGGTATATGTATGTATTTGCATGACACTTCCTGGAGTGTAAGGAACCAGAATCTGGGATAGCCCAGAGCCCTAGGATAGACCCAAACATAGACCAGAGCCTAGCATAATTGTCATGAGAGAGGCTCCATTCAAAATTCATGGAGAAGATACAGAGAACTACAACCAAATATTAGGTAGAGTTTGGGGAATCCTGCAGAAGAGGCAGAGTAAGAATTGTAGGTTCAAGGACACCACAAGAAAACAGCCTACAGAATTGACTAACCAGAGTCCATAGGGGCTCATGGAAACTGAACTGACAATCAGAAAGCCTTCATGGGGTCTGATCTCTGTCCTCTGCATATATGTTATGATTGTGTAGCTTTGTGTTCTTATAGGAATCCTAATTGGGGAAGAGGGCATCTCTGACTCTTTTGCCTGCTTTTAGGACCCTTTTCCTCTTACTTAGTTGCCTCATCCAGCCTTAATATGAGGAGATGAGCCTAGTATTATTGTAATTTGACATGCCATGTTTGGTTGACATCCCTGGGAGGCCTGCTCTTTACTGAAGGGAAATGGAGGAGGAGTGGATCTAGGAGAGAGGGGTGGTGGTGGGAAGGAGAGGAGGAAGAAGAAACTGTAGTCAGGATGTCATATATGAGAGAAGAATGAATTTTAAAAAGAAACAAAAAATACAAATTAGCACACTAAAATTAGTAGCCTTCCTATTTACAAAAGACAAACACTTCAAGAAGAAAACCAAGGA